AGTAGTCATAAGTTAAGATTATGACCAAGAAAGACAACACTCCTTCTAAGAAGCGTAGAGCTGAAAAGAAGAAGATTGAGAGAGAAGTCGCTAGCGCTGCCGCAGCTATTACTGCTGCACAAGCAACCAACGCCGCTGCTGATGCATTTAAGCGCGCTGTAGCCAAAGCACTTGCCTCTGACAATTATAGTCAAAAGAACAATGCTTCAGATAAGGAAGTAGCCACTCCGCTTAAGGAGACTACTCCTTCTGACAGAGCCCGAGGGCCAACTATATCCTCAACTTCAAAGCTTGCATTAACGAAGCCAAGAAGTGAGACAAGGGATACGTCTCAAGACGCCCCAACCCATTTGTCTGACAAAAATCAGAAAGGAAAGTCCCCAATTATGAGGGCGTCCCCAATTATAGGGGACAAGGACAAATCTCAGAAGGAACCTATTATGGAACCAGAAGAGGAGGCAAGCTCAATTAGCAAAACCGAATCTACGTCCGAGACTTCTAAGCCGAAGCACATAGGTAAGTTAATTACTAAATACGCTGATCTTAAGAATCAGTTAGCTACTATTATGAAAGACTTGACTGTCGAGCAGGTAGATCAATTAGAAAGATCAGGAAAATATACACAGCGCTTACGCGAGCATGTTTCGCCGGGCATTACCGAAGCCCTACAGAAGTGGACAGAACGTCGACAGGCAATTACGCCCAAAGACTAAGCTCGACACCTGAGTCATATGATCCAGAGGTGCACAGCGTCGATATACCGTACGAGGCATTACTGCCAGAAGAACAGGCTAATCATTCGCCTGTTCTGACACCTGGTCGTGAGTCACCTGTCCTCAAAGGTATTATAGACCGAGAGGTAAGGAGATATACTTCGCCACTTGTACCCAATTGGGAGGATAATCGTCGGAAACCAGTTAAGACTGGGTATGTTATTCCGACGCCAAGGGATATTAATCATCCCCGCAGACGTGTGAACGATGTCGAGTTTAATCGCTTCGACCGCACGGCTTTACACCAACCCGCAGAGGATTTCTACTCCGACGAGGTGACCGACCTTAATAAATCGGTCGACGACTATACAAATAAAATGGAAGTCACCCATACTGCGCATCATGCTAATGACGTAGCATACTATGCGAATCTTATTGCGATTAAGCAAAAGCTCATAGACCAACTACTTAAGGCCCAACGTGGACAAGACCACAGGAACAACCAGCAGTAAAAGGGACAGATCAGTCGACTTGAATCGAACTGGGATGCCAACAGCAAGCAGGTCGAGTTTATAAACAACCATGACCTCGACACGCTAACTTGTACGCTTAATGCGTTTACGGTCATGCTGGAGACGAATGATATCGCTCCCCAGCAATGGATCTCTGCCTTAATGCAAACATTTGACCCTATAGGGACCAGTTATCTGATCCTGCAGCGACACCAGCATGAGCTAGACACTTGTCGTGACTGGCCAGCTGTGTGTTGGTTGGTCACTTCCTTGTTAAGTAAGGATATGCGTAGCCCTGGGCTAAGTTCGATTTTAAATGAACCAGCCGAGAACACGCCCATTCAGAGTTATATTCTGAAGTTAGACGCTGACCTGAAACGTCTCGATATAACAAAGGACAAGGCACAGCGATGGTACGAATTCCTGGTTATGCATGTGTTCTGTAAGAACATAGGGAATAACGACCGTGAGAGTCTGTACACGGAGTTGCGACGTAAACACGCGACTGAGGCTAGCGACAAGGGACATGAAACAAAGTTTTATCTATCCCGACTTACATGGGAACAGTTTTATGATACTGTATCCACTCCTTTTCCCGCACATCGAGTAACATCGAAGGGAAAAGCGGCTGTTTAGAAGCCGCGGGAGCTCACTGATCACGGGTACATATCCAGGCAGACCTCAAACGAGAGACCCCAACATACACGTGCTCGCGAATCCACTTTCACAACGCGACCCAATAAACGGGCACGCGCAGGAGCGAAGGACATGGAGCCTCCATTTAAGGAGATTAAGAAATGTGCCGACGCCCAGTGTGGGTATGACATGTACCAATCGACCCCTAATGGTTATTGGAATGGCAGGCATGCATCCACCTGTACACACTTTCTTATTAAGTGCGACAAGTGTGAGAAGACCAATGGCTATCACACTAAGTCTTGTGATAAAAATCCCGACATTAAGTTGGAGTGAAAGTACTACCAGGTACGATCGTTACACAGACAATACAACGACTCTTTAGATGAGCGTGTAATAATCCCTGTATACTGCAATGGAAATAAAATCCTTGCGTTGATTGATCCTGGTTCAAAAATTTCATGTATATCCGATCGTTTTGCATTAATGAAAGATATCGAAAGGAGAACACAAACAACTCACCTCATTTTAGCTGATTTTAAAACTTCTAAGTGTGATACCATGGCCACAGAGGTTAAAATCTCCCTGGCCGATGATAGGAGTATCACTA